GCATAGTACACATCCTCACATACCTCAGTTAGTTCCACACTTCCTTCTCCGTCTTCGAACGCATAGTACACATCCTCACATACCTCAGTTAGATCCACACTTCCTTCTCCGTCTTCGAACGCATAGTACACATCCTCACATACCTCAGTTAGTTCCACACTTCCTTCTACGTCTTCGAACGCATAGTACACATCCTCACATACCTCAGTTAGTTCCACACTTCCTTCTCCGTCTTCGAACGCATAGTACACATCCTCACATACCTCAGTTAGTTCCACACTTCCTTCTCCGTCTTCGAATTTATAGTACACATCTTCACATACCTCAGTTAGTTCCACACTTCCTTCTCCGTCTTCGAACGCATAGTACACATCCTCACATACCTCAGTTAGTTCCACACTTCCTTCTCCGTCTTCGAATTTATAGTACACATCCTCACATACCTCAGTTAGATCCACACTTCCTTCTCCGTCTTCGAACGCATAGTACACATCCTCACATACCTCAGTTAGTTCCACACTTCCTTCTCCGTCTTCGAACGCATAGTACACATCCTCACATACCTCAGTTAGTTCCACACTTCCTTCTCCGTCTTCGAACGCATAGTACACATCCTCACATACCTCAGTTAGTTCCACACTTCCTTCTCCGTCTTCGAATTTATAGTACACATCCTCACATACCTCAGTTAGTTCCACACTTCCTTCTCCGTCTTTGAACGCATAGTACACATCCTCACATACCTCAGTTAGTTCCACACTTCCTTCTCCGTCTTCGAACGCATAGTACACATCCTCACATACCTCAGTCAGTTCCACACTTCCTTCTCCGTCTTCGAACGCATAGTACACATCCTCACATACCTCAGTTAGTTCCACACTTCCTTCTCCGTCATCGAACGCATAGTACACATCCTCACATACCTCAGTTAGTTCCACACTTCCTTCTCCGTCTTCGAACGCATAGTACACATCCTCACATACCTCAGTTAGTTCCACACTTCCTTCTCCGTCTTCGAATTTATAGTACACATCCTCACATACCTCAGTTAGTTCCACACTTACATCTCCGTCTTCGAACGCATATACCACATCCTCACATACCTCAGTTAGTTCCACACTTCCTTCTCCGTCTTCGAACGCATAGTACACATCCTCACATACCTCAGTTAGTTCCACACTTCCTTCTCCGTCTTCGAACGCATAGTACACATCCTCACATACCTCAGTTAGTTCCACACTTCCTTCTCCGTCTTCGAACGCAGAGTACACATCCTCACATACCTCAGTTAGTTCCACACTTCCTTCTCCGTCTTCGAACGCATAGTACACATCCTCACATACCTCAGTTAGTTCCACACTTCCTTCTCCGTCTTCGAATTTATAGTACACATCCTCACATACCTCAGTTAGTTCCACACTTCCTTCTCCGTCTTCGAACGCATTGTACACATCCTCACATACCTCAGTTAGTTCCACACTTCCTTCTCCGTCTTCGAACGCATAGTACACATCCTCACATACCTCAGTTAGTTCCACACTTCCTTCTCCGTCTTCGAACGCATAGTACACATCCTTACATACCTCAGTTAGTTCCACACTTCCTTCTCCGTCTTCGAACGCATAGTACTCATCCTCACATACCTCAGTTAGCTCCACATTTCCTTCTCCGTCTTCGAACGCATAGTACACATCCTCACATACCTCAGTTAGTTCCACACTTCCTTCTCCGTCTTCGAACGCATAGTACAGATCCTCACATACCTCAGTTAGCTCCACACTTCCTTCTCCGTCTTCGAACGCATAGTACACATCCTCACACACCCCAGTTAGTTCCACACTTCCTTCTCCGTCTTCGAACGCATAGTACACATCCTCACATACCTCAGTTAGTTCCACACTTCCTTCTCCGTCTTCGAACGCATAGTACACATCCTCACATACCTCAGTTAGTTCCACACTTCCTTCTCCGTCTTCGAACGCATAGTACACAACCTCACATACCTCAGTTAGTTCCACACTTCCTTCTCTGTCTTCGAATTTATAGTACACATCCTCACATACCTCAGTTAGTTCCACACTTCCTTCTCCGTCTTCGAACGCTTAGTACACATCCTCACATACATCAGTTAGTTCCACACTTCCTTCTCCGTCTTCGAACGCATAGTACACATCCTCACATACCTCAGTTAGTTCCAAACTTCCTTCTCCGTCTTCGAACGCATAGTACACATCCTCACATACCTCAGTTAGTTCCACACTTCCTTCTCCGTCTTCGAACGCATAGTACACATCCTCACATACCTCAGTTAGTTCCACACTTCCTTCTCCGTCTTCGAACGCATAGTACACATCCTCACATTCCTCAGTTAGTTCCACACTTCCTTCTCCGTCTTCGAACGCATAGTACACATCCTCACATACCTCAGTTAGTTCCACACTTCCTTCTCCGTCTTCGAACGCATAGTACACATCCTCACATACCTCAGTTAGTTCCACACTTCCTTCTCCGTCTTCGAACGCATAGTACACATCCTCACATACCTCAGTTAGTTCCACACTTCCTTCTCCGTCTTCGAATTTATAGTACACATCCTCACATACCTCAGTTAGTTCCACACTTCCTTCTCCGTCTTCGAACGCATAGTACACATCCTCACATACCTCAGTTAGTTCCACACTTCCTTCTCCGTCTTCGAACGCATAGTACACATCCTCACATACCTCAGTTAATTCCACACTTCCTTCTCCGTCTTCGAACGCATAGTACACATCCTCACGTACCTCAGTTAGTTCCACACTTCCTTCTCCGTCTTCGAACGCATAGTACACATCCTCACATACCTCAGTTAGTTCCATACTTCCTTCTCCGTCTTCGAATTTATAGTACACATCCTCACATACCTCAGTTAGTTCCACACTTCCTTCTCCGTCTTCGAACGCATAGTACACATCCTCACATACCTGAGTTAGTTCCACACTTCCTTCTCCGTCTTCGAACGCATAGTACACATCCTCACATACCTCAGTTAGTTCCAAACTTCCTTCTCCGTCTTCGAACGCATAGTGCACATCCTCACATACCTCAGTTAGTTCCACACTTCCTTCTCCGTCTTCGAACGCATAGTACACATCCTCACATACCTCAGTTAGTTCCACACTTCCTTCTCCGTCTTCGAGCGCATAGTACACATCCTCACATACCTCAGTTAGTTCCACACTTCCTTCTCCGTCTTCGAACGCATAGTACACATCCTCACATACCTCAGTTAGTTCCACACTTCCTTCTCCGTCTTCGAACGCATAGTACACATCCTCACATACCTCAGTTAGTTCCACACTTCCTTCTCCGTCTTCGAACGCATAGTACACATCCTCACATACCTCAGTTAGTTCCACACTTCCTTCTCCGTCTTCGAATTTATAGTACACATCCTCACATACCTCAGTTAGTTCCACACTTCCTTCTCCGTCTTCGAACGCATAGTACACATCCTCACATACCTCAGTTAGTTCCAAACTTCCTTCTCCGTCTTCGAACGCATAGTGCACATCCTCACATACCTCAGTTAGTTCCACACTTCCTTCTCCGTCTTCGAACGCATAGTACACATCCTCACATACCTCAGTTAGTTCCACACTTCCTTCTCCGTCTTCGAGCGCATAGTACACATCCTCACATACCTCAGTTAGTTCCACACTTCCTTCTCCGTCTTCGAACGCATAGTACACATCCTCACATACCTCAGTTAGTTCCACACTTCCTTCTCCGTCTTCGAACGCATAGTACACATCCTCACATACCTCAGTTAGTTCCACACTTCCTTCTCCGTCTTCGAACGCATAGTACACATCCTCACATACCTCAGTTAGTTCCACACTTCCTTCTCCGTCTTCGAATTTATAGTACACATCCTCACATACCTCAGTTAGTTCCACACTTCCTTCTCCGTCTTCGAACGCATAGTACACATCCTCACATACCTCAGTTAGTTCCACACTTCCTTCTCCGTGTTCGAACGCATAGTACACATCCTCACATACCTCAGTTAGTTCCACACTTCCTTCTCCGTCTTCGAACGCATAGTACACATCCTCACATACCTCAGTTAGTTCCACACTTCCTTCTCCGACTTCGAACGCATAGTACACATCCTCACATACCTCAGTTAGTTCCACACTTCCTTCTCCGTCTTCGAACGCATAGTACACATCCTCACATACCTCAGTTAGTTCCACACTTCCTTCTCCGTCTTCGAACGCATAGTACACATCCTCACATACCTCAGTTAGTTCCACACTTCCTTCTCCGTCTTCGAAGGCATAGTACACATCCTCACATACCTCAGTTAGTTCCACACTTCCTTCTCCGTCTTCGAACGCATAGTACACATCCTCACATAACTCAGTTAGTTCCACACTTCCTTCTACGTCTTCGAATTTATAGTACACATCCTCACATACCTCAGTTAGTTCCACACTTCCTTCTCCGTCTTCGAACGCATAGTACATCTCGCATCTTCGGAGCCATAAAACTATCACTTTGTACTTTAAATAGTGTTTTTTGGGATGATTTTCAAATAACTGAAAAAATCGAAGCTTTAATTTTGTTTTAAAATTTTCATCTTTTATTCTATCTTAAACTACTCCGTAGAAATTGAAATGCAGTTGAAACATTCAGGGTTTCGCCTTAATAAAGCAGTCTTGTTTATAATATGTTGCCAGACGCCAAGTAGATAGTTTGTATTTTATATAGCTTGACATAGCTTGTGTGCGTGTGGGGGGGGGGGGGGGGATGAAAACTTAAAACTTCAAAAAAAGAACGAAATTCGAATAACTTAAAACAAAAGTTTCTGGCTACGCAGGGCAGTCGGAATACTCTAGTTTTACAATCTGAACATTTATTCGTCTTTAGGGCGAAGCAAGCGTATGAACAGGGTGGGTGGTTGGAGTGTGCGGGGGGAGTGTGATGTGGGTGGCGGCGGGGTAGTGGGGGGAGGGGTGGTGGATGAAAAGAGTCTGAAGCAGTTCGAGACATTCTGCACGTTGGAGTCCCTCCGCAACAAGAGCAAGTCTGTCTCCACTCAGCAATACGTAGAGAAACTGTGAGTTAACAGAACACAACAAACAGTAAAATTATACGTTATATTATAGTCGCACAAATAACAAGTTTTACTCACGTAAAGTAGTTGTCGAAATTTCTTTTAACGCATTCTTGGGAATAAAAAAAGTAAAAAAATTCAGAAAAAAAATTTAAAAAAATCAGAAAAACTTGTTGACTTTTCTATTTAAATTTAGGCAAAATTGATTTTGAGACTAAATAGATGTCAAGAGATGAAAACAGATCAATTTCCCGTATTTTTATCAGACTGAATGCTCAGCGTTTTTTTTTTACAAGAATCGCCATCTGATTTTAGGGTCAAATAACTCAATTAAAACTACTCGAAACATCCTCAGAAAATATTCGCCCGACGAATGCCAGTTCTTTAAACGATTTTTCTTCTGAGCGCAAAATAGAGTGCTGATTTAAATTATCCGGACAAAACGAACAAAATTTGGATTTTCAAACGCTTTTTCTCACTTTTGGTTGAAATTTGACAAAAAGAGAAGAGCACAAAAGTGGCTAGAATTTCACCAGAAAAAATATGGTGCATTTTTTTTTCGGGAATGCTCAACCATAATTTTATCCCAAAAATAGATAAATTGTAATTTTCGATTAATTAAAAAAGCAGAAATGACCCATTTTTGGTGTAAATTTTTGGCGCAGGAGTTCGGAGAAAAAATTGCACCACTTTATTTTTGGTGAAACTCTAGGCAACTTTTGCTCTGTTTACTTTTTGTCTAATCTCAACCCAATGTGAGAAAAATGCGTTTGAAATTTCAATAATTGTTCATTTTGTCCGGTTAATATAAATCAGCACTGTCATACGGCCTTATATAGATTTAAACAAATTTATCGGACAATTTCTTAAATGTTTGAAATAATTCTGACCATGAGACAGTGAAATGGCGTTAAAACTGAAATTAAGTTTTCTAAAATGCGTTTGAACTGTTAAAAGAGCAATATGCAAACGATTTCATTTTGCCTTATTAAAGAGCACAATTGAAAAAACTTTTTCATTCAACAACGATTTGCCATGTAATTTTTCAGAGCAAAAAAGCGCATAAAATGCTGACACAAAGGCAAACAATAAACTTCAAAGAAGTGTTTCGATTCAGTTTAAGTTTGAAGGTCAAACTATTTTCAGAAATTTAATACGTTGTCCGGAAAAATTGTTGAGAGCTATATTTTAGTTTTTTTTCTAGACGCGAGTTAATTCAAAGCACATTTACTCTAGATTGTCTATGGCATCATAAGATGTCAAAGTCTCAGAAAAAAAAACAAGCTTTTGAAAAAAAAACATTTAAATTGAGAAGAAAGGTCTGATGACTTCACTTTTTCAGAGACTCTTGAAAAATATAGCAAATTCTGTCTATGCAATTCTTGAACATTTATATCTAGAAGATGGATGAAAAGATGTAGTTTTTTGTGTTGCTTAAAGACTTTTGTGATGTGATGTGATTTGAAATGTGTGTGTTGTGATGTGTTGCAGACTAGTGTTGGAAGAAGACCAGACGAGGCGGATCAAAGACTGTGCGGCCAATCTATCTCTGTGTAGGATCACAATCCAGAACAACTTGGAGCACAGACAGAGGAAACAGAGACAGAAGCAGAAACAGCGGGAGAGGGACTTCGAGGAGAGCCAGAGTCAGAGCACCTTCACCACACTTACCAGACCCCCCCAGCAGTCGCCAGACCCCCCCCATTGGTCATTGGTCACCATCACAAACAACAACAACAGCAACAAAGAGAAACGTCAGCAAAATTAGCATGGTTAGTAGGCCACAAACAGCAATTTCAACAAGGATAGCCGGCTGCTGTTCAAGTAGCACAGAAGGTTCCGAACATAGTGTTTACAACACAACAAAAAAGTGTTTTTTTAAGTTAAGGTTTTTTTCTGCGTGGTGTGATAAAAAGATCTTAGGTAAAAGTATATTTTAGGCATATTCAAGAGTCATAAAAACAAGCTATAGGCATAATGGAAAAAAAAAACTGGAAAACTCAAAAAAAAATTGAAAATTTAAATTTTTTTTTTTAAATTTTGCAGAATTTTAAGGAATTATTTAGAAATTTTTGGTTCTCAAAATGGCACTAAAAACAAATTTTACTTGCTTAAAACTAAGTTTTCACGGCCTAAAATGAGCATAATTAATCTGTAGGCTTGTAAAGCCTGTTCGCTTTATTCGCTCAAAACTTAAATAAAAATAAAAAATTTCAAACCATTATTTTTCTCGATACTGAGGAAAATTTTTGAAATTTTGTTGTGTCGTTCGAATCACGACTGAAAAGGTTTCAATTAGTTATAAACACTCGACCCATTTCGTTGATTATTTGTGGTACCTGATTGTGTGTGGAAATAAATTAAAAAACATCCAAATACAAATTTCCTCCACATTTTTCAAATGGTCAGAACAGAAATAGTTATTATAGTCCTTGTTTTTATACCACTTGTTATTATACCAAGTGTAATTTCTTTATTCATCAAATTTGAAAATCAAAAAAATATTGTCGCGGTTTGTTCTTTGGCCAGTGAGACTTCAGTTTAATTTTCAACTCGTAGATTAATCCAAAAAGATATAGTGAATAATGTAACGTAACATGGAAAAAAAATGGGTTTGAATGAGCAGCTGATGAGAGAAATGGACAGAGAGGGATCGGAAGAGAGGACGACAGGAGAGCAGCTGATGAGGAGGACTTCTTCAGAAGCAGCAGCTGGACAGAGGCAGAGGGTGGGGACTCCTCCAAGCACCACATCCGATCTCCTTTCCACTCAACACCTCACTCTGAGAAGACAGTCCACGGAAGAAGTGGATCTATAAATGCGGAACACACTTCCTCCATAACTGAAACAGGACAAAGTCATCGCAAATGGCCTCTCTTGACCTTTGATCTGACATGATAGTACGGGCATGACCTCATCTATTTCCCCCCAAGCGCTCTGAACTTCAACTGCGACAACATCTGACTCCTTTAATACTTTTTCAGCAAACTAATGATTTTTGAACTTTTGTAGAGTATTTATATTAAGTGTTTCGTAGTTTTCTATCTTACTGTCTAGCCTAGCTTTCTATTCAATTCAATTCTTCTTCTTTCGTCAGTTGACTGGCTGTAGGAGTACAGGGTTGAACAAATCAATTTGATTAATGAGTCGATATTATCAATTCCAATATTTGATAAACGCGTACCTTAAGACGTAGGTTTAGGGGAACAAGCTCTCTGAAAAACAAGATGCTCGTATCAGGGCCAAACTCAGAAAGTTCCGAATCTGTTTTAATTTACATGGCGTAATTCTAAGAAAAATAATTGATGAACTTTCAACAAAAATGAAAAAAAAAAAATTAAATTATCCCCCCACACGCATAGAGCAAAGTATTAAATAGACCAAAGAGCAGTTTATTAGTCAAAATTTCTGGGGAGAAAAAAAACCGCCCGAGTAGAAATATTCCGACACTTTTTTTCGAAAATTGGAACAATAGTAAAACACCACCTATAAAATTGACTTCCCACTCTCGTATCTAAGCCAGCCGAAGTATGCACCAGCTAATACAGAAGCCATCCGACAAACTGAGGCGTTGCACTGTATCATTCTCACATATATTAGTACTTACAAGTACTAAACATTACTCAGCATTTTGAATTTCGAAAATCCAGAAAAAAAAACTAGAAACTAAAACTAAAAACAAACAAGACTGCTGGTACCAGGTTAAAGCTCTGAATATATCGACTGCCTTTTAAAATCTATGGAGCAGTAATAACATGAAAAAATTAACGAATTTTTATTATTCGAGATTTTTGTGAAAACTAAACCCCCAACATGCCATATAAAACACGAAAAGAAACATTTCGATCCTATTAAGAAATCAATTTTGGCAAATAAGCTTCCTTTAACCAATTTGGAACAATTTCTAGGACGGATTAAATCTCCGCTTACGCGTTAATAGCGAAAAAAGATATCGCGCGTTAACTGTCCCAATTTGGCCAAAATGGCAGTCTTTAAGACCCCATAATTTTAAGAAAAATAATCACAGGAGAAACCTTTTTTCAAATTCAAGCTTAAGACAACATTACCTTTTGAATGATATAAAAAAATTGGTTATACATCGTCAAAAACGATTAAATAAAAAGTCAAAATTTGTCTGGAGAAAAAAAATCACCCAAGCACAATTATTCCGTTACTTTCGCTACAATAATTACGAAAAGTTTACTGAAAAAACTAGAAACTGTTTTAAAAAAGTACAAAAAAGCAATTTTTTTTTAATTAAGTCTAAAGAAATCATTCAATTTATCAATAGACTTTAAATATGCTGACTTTAAATAAAATATCAGTTCAGTTTGATTCACCCTTTTTCCACTGTAAAAAAAAACATCTGTGAAAAATCTCATCGGAAAGCGGAAAGACTTTCATCTGTTTTCCGCTAACTTTTCAAAATTTGTAGCCTCAATTACATGATTTCTAATTTCTTTGTGTTCACGCGGAGAACAGGTGAACGCATTGAAAGTAGCTGATTGTTTTTTTGGCTGTCGAATCTTCAGAAACTGCTGCTTTTTGCCAGAAGTAGTTTTGAGATCACCGAAAAGTTCTGAGATCATCAAATTCAATTTGATTATCGTTTTACGGATGTGTTTTGAAATGCAATGATTTAAAAACTTGTTTAAAAAATTTCAAATGCATTAAAAGCTTTTTCGGGAGACTTCATAAAAATTTCCGAAAAATCAAAAACTGCCGGGAAAAAAAACAAAACCAATCATAAGATACAAAAAATGATGTAATTTTATGAAATTTTTCTGCTCAAATTCAATTTAATGCTATTTTTGCCGCAACCTAGCCGTTTTTAAGTAGTAAAAATTATTAAATTCTCATTTTTGATTCCACTAACCAATTGCCGAATTGAATTTCAGCGCCAAAAGCAAAATGCGAACATAAACAACACTGCTTGCCTATCGGGGCAAAATCTTGAATGTTGCGACTGCCCCATGATTGGTCTCAGGTTTTTTCTGAAAGTAAAAAACATTTAAAAGCATAATGTTTCAAAACTATCAAAAATCCGGCATAGTGACTCGGCTTAATTTGTTTGGGATGATTTTGTGGTTTGCGATGATACGCCACGAAAAAATAATTCGCGTTACACTTTCCGCGTTATCAATAAAAACTTCAAAACGAGCATAAATTACTTTGGAGCACGGTTTTTTGGCCATTTCTAAACCCAGAGTTATACAAAAAAATAATCAGACGTAGAAAACTTATTTTTGAGTTTAAACTTGGAGAGTTGATATTTTCCCAGTTTTTAAAAAAATTTGTTAAAAACTATTATTTTAATTGCCGAAATTTGACTGCAGCAAAAACTACCCCTGCATAAGCAATTTGCACTTTATTCAAAAGTTGGAAAAGGAGTAATAAATTATCTCAGCAAACAATCAAATGCCTCAGTTTAATTTGAAAGACTCGTTTCACCGCACTCGCTAAGCGTTGCTGAACAAAAAACTTCTGAACAAACAGTGCGCAATAAGAATCACACATTGGCCAATATAGTATGAAAAAACCTCACAGCAGTACAAAAAGTTATCGAAGAAAAAATATTTTGGACTCAAGACATCAATGTCTTTCAAATGGTTTAAAACAGTTCCTCTGAATGTTCTTGTATAAAATTCGCAATTTATCGGGAAAAGAAAAGACCATACTGAGCACAAAAAGGTATTTTCGGTGACTCTAGGAGGTGCATTTACCCTTCTGATTGCTCAGATAAAAACGTAGTTCATAAGTTTATAATCAACCTAACTATGAGCAAGATAACATATAAGCCAGACAAAAACCCATATCTCTTAAATCGTAACCCTGTAATTTCAGTTGTTTATCGGATTCTCGTGGGAAAATTTTAAAAATCTTGTTATCAAAAAACCATAAAATCTAAGCTTAGCATCAATTTTTTCTCAAACCAAAAGTACTTTTCATGCAGTTGTTCAGGCTGTTAATTTGACAAAATCATGTGCCATTTTTGAGCCTCCAAATATTATACCTCCAAAAACCTAAAAACTTAACACCGAGCATGACTATTCAAAAAGTCAATTGCTGAAGCACCATCACTTGATTCGTAGTTTTGCTTTTACAGAAAAAATTCGTCTTACGTTCAATATTGCAATTTCTTTCTGATGAATTATGGTGACATTCTAACAATTTTTCTGCAATTATTCATAAGAGTTAGGAGGGGGCAGTATGGCACTATTGATTTTTTTTAAATTTCACCAGCACGCAGTAAACTAAGCAGAAATGTCTTGCTGTTTGGTAAGGCTCAAAAATCAAATTGGTTGATCTTAAAATTTTTTTCTAAATTTCGAGAAAATCTTGAATCCGCGAAAGCAATTATTTGCCACAAGAATATCATAGAAAAAGCAAAATGCGGAAATTATTCGTCAGCTTTGTTAAAGATTTATTTAAAAACACTTTTTAAGGAAATGAAAAATTTTTCTCGAAGATTTTAACATATTCGTGCAAAATCTTCAAATAAACTTTCTCGCAAACTTGTCAATTTTGAATAAGATCTTTCAAAAATTGAGGCGAACTTTTTAACACTTTTTCACAAAGTAGAAATTTTTTCTCGAAGAGTTTAAATTAAATTCGTGCAGAAACTGCGGTGATCTAAGGAGCTAATCTATGTAAGAAGAAAAAAAATTGAATTAGATTACATGACAAGACTGCATGAATATCAAGGCGAAGTTTTGAATGTTCCGACTGCCCTTTAGGGCCAATTAAAAAGTTTTGGCGAAGAAATTGATGAAATAATCGGAAGAAAAACAATTAAATACAATATTTTTTTCGTCATTTTGTAACCTTACATGCTTTGTAGCGTCTCTTATACGAATAAAAAGACCAAATGACTTGCATCAATTCAATTTGAAACTATTTTTTGTAAGAGCTCCAACCCAAGAAGCAAGTTTTGGACTCTTTCGCCTTTTATCCAGTAGAAAATTTAGGGGGTGGGCGTTGAAAGGTTGTGTTGAAAGGGGGTGTGATGCATTTGTCTTGAACTTTGTTTTAACTGGGTCGTTTCGTGCAAGAAAGATTGGCCGGTTTTAAGGTCTGTGGTTTGCAGATCAACTTGATCGAATAGTTTTGACTGACTGTTGGAACGAGTAGATAACTGTTCACATTGCTGCTGTTTCCATTCAATCCTCTGTTTGTTCTGAGAAGGAACTCCTGTCGGGCAGGGAATTAAACTCAGACGACATTTAATTGGGATTCACTTCAGGTTTCAGCGACATTTTACCAAAATGGAAACAAGAAAACTATGGAAACAACTAAAATTTTGTTTAGTCAGGTTTCCATTTTAGCAAAAAATAACACTATTTTATATTTTTTCTCTACGTTTTTCTACTTGGCGTTTAAGTTTTATGGAAAATCAGTAGCTGACAAAATGAATACATGAACCAAAATAGAATAAGAATGAAAGCAGTTGTCTTTTACTACTATTGGTAGAATGTTTATGTATGTCGGAATAATTCAGATGCGACTGTGTGTATGTATGGTTTGTGGATCAGCTCCGTTCTGTTATCATATATGAGGACAGATTGAAGAGTGATTGGAAGGAGCAGACGCAACTGGCACGAAGAGTACATTTATGAGCACCCAGTCTAATCCACCTTTACTACCCTTTTATCCCTCTCGCTCCAGGGAACCCTGGAATGCATTGGGCTTGGGATTAGGTGACGCTGGCAAAGGGGGGTTCCAAACTGAAAACCACTCTCTCCTCTCTCTACTCCCCCTCCCCCCTAATATTTCCAAGCAAATTTTAACTGCACTAGTTCACAAAAGAATTAATGAACATGAAGAGATAATATGGTCAAGTTGCCATAAATGAATAAACAAAAACGAATGTCGGTCTTATGGCGTTTTATAGCGAGTAGTAAAGTTCTCCTTTTAAGCGCCAAACCCAGCTCATAACTAATTCCCCACCCAAAACCACAAGAGCACGGAGCCAATAGGGAAAATAGACTACGATAGCTTTGACCATGTTCTTTTTTGTTTAAGAAACAGTTTGAGCTTATTTAGTGTCAGTAGAAAACTCGCAATTATTTTTATTTTTTTTTCTTTGTAAAATGTTTTATTTATTAAATTTTATTACGCTTTCCCGAGCAATTGACCTAGGATGCCTTCGAGACACATCGATTTAAAAAAGTATGAAAAAATGAAAAACTGATTTGCACGAAGCCTGTAGAAGAAAAAAAATTCAGGAACTTCTCGGTTCTCGCGGTTCGGGTTATTCGTGGGAATCATTCGGCTTCTTGGGAAGTTTCCCTAATCCCAAGTAGGGGTTTTATTGCCTAGGGAGCTTAAAGTTAAATATGTCAGAAAGATAAGTCAGAACAACTCAATCTAGATCTTCCCTCCGTGTGTTAAATTGCCACATAACAAACAAAACACTTAAGTTACAGGTATGGAGTTGACTGCAATTTGATATTAATGCCTCGGGTATCAGTTGCGAAGCAAAACAACAATTTCTATTTTCTTAAACTCGCAGTGATTTGGACCCTAGTTATAATTTATATGCTCCAATAACCCTCTAATTCATCCAAATCCACAGGAACAGTTAGGGGGGCCAATGCGAATGATCTCTAAGTGGCATAGACATCAAGTGCGGCTGAAACAGTTATTGGATTAGTCTTCTTCCGCTTCCATTCCAGGGCTCACTCATTTCAAGACCAGACAAACGGGCGATTCTGCATTGAAAATTCCTAAATTATTCTTGTATCCAAATTTACTTCATTTCAGACAATCTACGCGATCTGCAAAATCCAAGCCGCCCAATCCGATTCTTATGAGATATTTGTGGACCAAGTACGAAACTATATCACATGCCTATAACTGCTAATTTTCTTTTTATTGCAGATCTTCAGGCAACTATCTTAAAAACTGAGACACTGATTATTTCGAATTCAATGGTATGCAATAAGAATGACGTTTGCAATTTGACTTAAATAACTTGAATTAATGAAAGAGAAAACATAAAACAAAAAATTGATTTCAGAAAATTATCAGAGACTAAATATAATTACACAAAGAAGATAAGCGCCAATTATTATCAAAGCGAAACGTACCAACTGCACAGATTCTTTTTCGTTCTTGTTCGATATGAATTTTGGCAATTACCATACTGGCCCAGTTAAATTCAACCAAGATCTTCTGAATAGCTGCAGTCCTCACCCCCACCCCCCAATGGAATCGATAAGGGGCAGGGGTGAAGCAAGCAGACTGGCCCACTTGACCCCGATTAGTGATGACGAGGAGCAGTTGACGGGGTGCTGTGTGATGCCTTCGCCCAGATCAGCCAAACGAATCAGAGGTGAGCAGAACAGGTGTTTTTTGTTCCTTGCCCTCCTCCTCGTCCACCTCACTAATCATCAGTGATAGAGAAGTACAGAGAGAAGTCTTACAAAGTTGGGTTTTATGGGGTTCCAAATATGTCTGCAATAGCCTCCTTAAGTGACGAGAGTGGCTAGCTAAGTTCGCGACACTTGCGATGCAGCAACTTGTAAGTTAAATAACAATTGAAGCATTGCTTTTTAATAGCTGCAAAAATGTCTGAAGGAAAGAATTCAAATCTGACGACACTCACTAATCTGAAGTTGGCTCTAATTCAATAAACTTGTTGGACGAGGAGCGAGGGAATATCTTGTAGGATGAAGCAATAGATTTCAAAATAAAATAAAAAACAAAACAGAGTTTACAGAGGACAAAACGAAACAATATCTGCTGGACAAAAAGTAACTTTATTCTTTTGAAAAATTATGAAATCGAGAACAGTAACCAGTTTTCAAGACGGGTGGGGGTCGGACAAATTTAGATGGGTGGGGGTGGGACACCTCTTCGACCAGTTTGACATTAAATTTGTCTGCAACACAGAAACTTCTAGCGAGATGAAAAAAGGGTTCATTTATTGTTTAAGGAGACCTCGGGAACTGAACTTATTGCCAAACCTAAGAAAAGGGCCGAAAAAATGGTGGACGAAAAATTCGATAAAATTTTTTGAAATTTTGCCCTCCCATTCCCCTCGAAAATGTTGGATGCGGGCCAGGTTCATTGCCCATCATTATGCACTACTGTTAATGAAGTTTTGTTGAAGGAGGAAACGGCGGCAACCGATCTATGCCACGTGACGAGACATTCGAGACAGACATCTACTCACGCCAGTCAGAGATGAATCTGATGAACATCATAAATGCACCCTCTTCTCCCCCACTTCAACAGACCCAGAACATCAACTCAATGGGGGACTTACCCGAACGGGAGGAAGATGATCAGCAGAGGCAGAGGCAGCGGCAGGGGGAGGGGGAGGGTGAGGGAGAGGGTGAGGGGGAGGGTGAGGGGGAGGGTGAGGGGGAGGGTGAAGGGGAGGGGAATGAGGAAGAGAACCTCCCCTTGGTGCCCAGTTCCCCCTCCCCACCACCCCCGATACACTTTAACCCTGCCGACAACCACACTTACATCCACAGAGACCAACTGATGAGTCATGAGCAGAGTGCAACAGTGTTGGCGGGGGAGCGGCGGGGGAGGAGTCGGTTGAGGGGCCATGAGTATAACAGGGACGAATGTGGGGGCGTGTACTCTATTGAAGTCATGCACTCCAGCAATCTCTGGACCAGCCACCACACCGGCAATAAAGTGCCCCCCGGCCCACATGAAATCAGCCCAGACTTATTCCACCAGATGGACCCAACATTGAACAACGCCCAACTGCAGTTGAGAGGCGAGATTGACGGAGGTGGGGTCGGGGGCGTGGTCCGCAGAGGGGCCACCGGCAGGGGTAGAGGCGGGGCTGGGGGAGGAATGAGAAGAGACCACAGCACTGACTCGAACTACTACTCGGAGCTTTCGAGGGAGGAGCAGTTAAATGGAGTCACAGGAGGGACAGGGAAGCCAAGACGACAAGTGGTAAAACGATATTCAATTATTATAGATCCTAATGTTCAGATATTAGAGAACTGAGAACAGATTTTATAATGTAACAAGAATAGCTGGTTGCTGTACCAGAAGCTCAGAACGTTTCGACCAAACTGATTGAAGATAAAGTCAAAAATAAACAATTTAAAAAAAATAGAAAAAAAAACGAAAAAAAAAAACATCAAGTTTGCTCCATTTTTGTCCAAAGTCTCCTGCTTTTTTTATTCTATAAATTTCTATTGAATTTGGCAAAAAAAATGCACAACTGAGCGATAATTATTAGACAGTCTGTTGAAATTTTAGTAGAATAAATTTGGAGGTCAGCAGTTCTTGACAGTTTTCTCAAATTTAGTTAGAAAAACAAAAATAAATTCAGACTTATTTTTTCCCGACACGATTCTTTTTTAATTTTAGAATTGAAATCACAGCTGAAAAGATTTCAAAATAATAAAGCTTTACTTAACCCCGGTCCGTTACGAGCTTCGTTTGATGTACTCAAAATTGGTTGCAAAAAACAGACCCTGCTTCTTAGTTTCTTCCCCTGAACAAAATATGGTCTTCAAGAAATGTCCCACATCCAGTTTCAAGCATTTATAAGGATAGCCGTTCAATGTGCAGTGTTCCGAACAAAGTCTTACAAAATAAAACAAAAAAGTTTTTTCAATTTAGTGTCGTTTTTTCTGCGCAGTGTGATAAAAGGTTCTGAACGAAAAACTAGAGCTTGGAATATTCAACAGTCATAGTAAAATAGGCAATTTGAAAAGCAATTTTTGAAAAATGGCTAGAAAACTTTAAAAATTCAAAAACTTTTCAAAATGTTTAAAATTTTGTGTTTGCAGTTTTTTAAATTTTTGAAGTTTTTGTTCCCAAATACTCAAAAACACAACTTTTAATCGATTAGAATTATGTTTTTTTAGTAATTTAGGCAGCTCTAAGCTTTCAAGCTACTAAAACTAATCTATCATCGGACTGTTTGCTTAAAAATAGACGAAAAATTTTTTTTTTAAATTCATGCCGGCTTTTCTCGGCACCGGGAAAGTTTTTGAAAATTTTTCTCAGGTCGTTCGAATCAAGACTAGAACAATTTAATTTTTACGTCAGCTGGTTAATTTTTTTTAATTGTGCTAGTTGATTTTGTGTAGAAAAACAAAAAACGAAAAAAAATTAAAGCATACAAAACTCCTTCCCAAACTTCGATTGGTCGAAACAATAATCAATTAATTTATGATTTTAGTACCAGTATTGCTAAAAATCAATTATAATTATTTCATAATCAATAAAAACTTCTTTTTTTGAAAAAAAATCTTAAATCAATTATAAAATTTTTGAACTGATTATAATAGATTATTATTCGATCTATTTTTCGAAACAATTATAATCGATTAAATTCACAATTTCTATTATGTTTGTTATGCACAAAGAAAAAATTTTAATCGATTATAAATCATCTATATATTTTTTTGTTTGTCCATTTTGTTTTCAACCTTGCATCTGAATTGCTGATAATTTTTGCTTTTCATAAATGTTGGTTTATGTGAAAAATGAGAAATTTGTTTGAGCAGTTTTCTAATAAATTGAAATTCTCAGCGTTTTTTTAGTTTCTCCTCGATTAGATTTGTGTCATGAAGCACATTTTTGGTTTTTGAACTACCGAATTATCAGAATGTTGTTTCAGTTTAATGATTTTCTAAATGAGGTTATTTTTTGCTTACCGCATAACTTTTCAACAAAAATGAAAGTTCTCTACAAACTTTTTGTTTCATGGTAAATCTTTGGGTTCTGATGAACCAAAAGGTGACAGGGCATCTTATTTTTAGAAATTGTTCTACTGACAGAAAAATAGTAAAACATAAGATGTACAAAAAGACGCTCTTGTTGTGACAAAAAAGTAGAGATTATAAACGATTATAAAATATTTAAAAAGTTTTCTGAATAAGCTATAATCAGTTATTCTCTGGGAAAAGATCATCATTAAAACTGATTAAACACCTAACAAATTTGGTAACTATAATCACATATAGTTGCCAGAAAACTCAGCATAAAAATCCAATATAATCAATTACTTAAGCCCAAACTTGGATGCGGGCTGATCTGGGAATGAAATATGATCAAAGGTAATTTTTATCACTCAAATTCAGATTTAAAAGAAATCGTCATGTTCATCAAATTTAGTATCAAATTGAAGCACGCACGTTTAGTATCAATTCAAGTTTCACGATAGGTGCCGAAGAAGGTTGTCTGAGCGTTGAAAAAAACTGGGCCGAGTTTTACCTTGTTTTGCCCAGATGGTTTGTAATATATTGAACCAGCCAGTTCCAATGTTTTTTTTTACAATTACTTCGAAAGCAAATTTCCAGAAATATTTTTTATTGTTTCGAAAAATGACAAAATATTTAAGCACAAAGCTGTTTTTTTTTCAGGCTTACTTCAATTTACTAACTAATCATTTTTGATAAGTTTTCTTAAAAAGTTGATTGAACAGCAGCCAATTCTTTTGGGTTAAAATTAATCTAAAATGAATTAAAAACAACTAACTTGTACCTGACCTTGCGTGATTGCGTGCGAAAAAAGAACATGAGAAAATAGTTTTGAATTTTTGGAGTTCAATTTCAACGTTCCTTTCACTAAAAACTTGTCAACCTGATGAACCTATTGCGCTGGCTGGGAATAGGAGAATCTTTTATTTCCGACTTTCAAAAAATAATAATAATATTTATGATTGGGGGTGACTGGTAATCTTCAGAGGGTAAAGTTATGGAAAAAATAAATTTGGCAGTGTTCTGCGCTAATATATCCGCGCTTTGAACGTATTATATATGATGCATGCTGGAAGAGTAACTCTAATTCGTTATGCATGGCAAACGAGCCAATATGTGATTTTGTACAGCTAATATTATTTTCGTATATGATTCAATTTTGAATACTTCATTCAACATAAAGAACTTTTTCGACACTGAGATATCTTTAAGAAAATTTACCTTCAGATATCTTATCAGCTGATCGGAAAAATTATGCATACTGGCTAATTTGGCAAACCACTCAGTAAGTAAATTTGCGTAGCTATTATTGTTTTGGTATATGATTCATTTTCGACACTTAGTTTTCATTTTATTTTAAATTCTTATGGAAATTTCTTTTGTATTAAGAAGTTTTATTTTTAAATCAAATTTATTTTGAGTTTTGTTTGAAACTATTTACAGTGTAGTCAAAACAATCAAGGTTTCGTCAGAATATACAAAGATTTTTTTCTAATTTAACATATTTGGCAAACTGCCAGAAAATTTAACTCACTTCGCAAACTAAATTTTACCAGAAGCTTACTAAAATGATTTAGTTGTTCGACTCAGTTAAGATGGGGACTTTAGGTTAGTTAACCTAAGTTAATCGATTTTTCCGGTTAACTGAAAAGATAACTTAACGTAAGTTTTCTAGCAAATATCTAAATGTCTAAAAAAATCATAATTTTGAACTCAGTGTTGAAAATGAACCATTTACGAGAACAATATTAGCTTCACAAATTTACATACTGGATACTTTGCCAAATCATCTAGTATGCATCATTTTTTCTGATTAACTGATAAGATAACTGAACGTAAGTTTTCTGAAAGATTTCTAAGTTTCTGAAAAAATTATGAAATTTTAGTTTCAACATTTTTCAATAAAAGTGTGTTTTTTTCTGATTCACGGGATGTTAATTTAAGACTCCCGATCTAATTATTTGAAAATGCGAAAAAACAGTATGAATAATTCTTTTAGCAAAAATATTCTTTTCTTTTGGAACTAACTGAAAGAAAATTGGCCCGTTAGTTAAGTTGTGTAAAACGTTGCTTATCGAACTTTCATTTAAAAAATAGGCACAGATCACTTTTAAATCCACAAAACAAAATACAACATTTAAAGTGTTGATTAAAATTAGCCGGACAAAATGAACCCATTTTGAAAATTAAAACAACATTTTTTCTCAAATTCAGTTTCAATTACACACAAAGTGAGGAAAAGAAAATTTGCTCAAATTTTCATAAGAAATAATAAAGAGTAATTTATTGTGCCAAACCAAACCCGCAGCCAAAAATGTTAACCCAAAAATGAGTTATTTTGGCTTTCTTAGTAATTTAAAAATTACGCTGAAACTATCATTTTAATTCAAGAAAATGATATCAAATGGAGCCTCCTACACAGCTCCACAAATTTTTAGACAGATAAGTTCTCCATAAATTGCGCAAAACGCTAGAAGTTTGCTTTAGGCAAATATTTTGAGTTTTATTTAGTTAAAATAAATTTTTTGGCTATAAAATATATTCTCTGATACAGATTTTTGGCAGATTTTACTCTTCTTGAACTTAATTGGAATGTGTAAGAAAATATTTTTAATATAATTTTCCCATCAGTTATTTTGGTCGTTTTGGCGTAGATTTTGAAAATTTAAAAAAAGGCAAAATTACCCATTTTGTAGTACAATATAGGTTGCGAATTTTGCAAAAAAAAGTTACACTTTATTAACTCTGATGAAATTTTAAGAAACTTCTGTTTTCTTCTCTTGTTTAATTTAAAACAGTTTGAGAAAAATAGGTTAAAGGTTTCAAGTTTTTGTTTTGTCCGGGTACTTTAAATCAGCACTGCCAAATCATCCAGTATGCATCATTTTTTTCTGATTAACTGATAAGATAACTGAACGTAAGTTTTCTTAAAGATTTCTAAGTTTCTGAAAAAGTTATCAAATTTTATTTTCAACATTTTTCAACAAAAGTGTGTTTTTTCTGATTCACGGGATGTTAATTTAAGACTCCCGATCTAATTATTTGAAAATGCGAAAAAACTGAAAAATATTAATAACGTCCTTATGAATAATTCTTTTATCAAAAATATTATTTTCTTTTGGAACTAACTGAAAGAAAATTGGCTCGGTTGCTTATCGAAGTTTCATTTAAAAAATAGGCACAGATCACTTTAAAATCCACAAAAAAATACAACATTTAAAGTGCTGATTAAACTTAGCCGGAAAAAAATGAACCAATTTTGAAAATTAAAACAACTTTTTTCTCAAATTCAGTTTCAATTACACACAAAGTGAGGAAAAAAAATTTGCTCAAATTTTCATAAGAAATAATAAAAAGAAATTTATTGTGCCAAACCAAACCCGCAACCAAAAATGTTAACCCAAAAATGAGTTATTTTGGCTTTCTTAGTAATTTAAAAATTACGCTGAAACTATCATTTTAATCCAAGAAAATGATATCAAATGGAGCCTCCTACACAGCTCCACAAAATTTTAGACAGATAAATTCTCCATAAATTGCGCAAAACGCTAGAAGTTTGCTTTAGCAAATATTTTGAGTTTTATTTAGTTAAATTAAATTTTTTGGCTATAAAATATATTCTCTGATACAGATATTTGGCAGATTTTACTTTTCTTGAACTTAATTGGAATGTGTAAGAAAATATTTTTGACATAATTTTCCCATCAGTTATTTTGGTCGTTTTGGCGTAGATTTTGAAAATTTAAAAAAAAGCAAATTTACTCATTTTTAGTACAATATAGGTTGCGAATTTTGCAAAAAAAAGTTACACTTTATTAACTCTGATGAAATTTTAGGAAACTTCTGTTTTCTTCTCTTGTTTAATTTAAAACAGTTTGAGAAAAATGCGTTAAAGGTTTCAAGTTTTTGTTTTGTCCGGGTACTTTAAATCAGCACTGCATATATGTTTTGTTTTAATCAAAGCATACCGCGGAACCTCTAACTCCTTGTTTCAGCTAAATCAATCAGTTTCACTAAGTAATCATTGCGAAAGAAAAAATATATTTCGACAGACACAATCGAACTTTTTTGTTTTACAATATGAACAGATTAGAGCTACCATTAGCCAGCAAACAGGCAATAGACGATATTTGAAAAAAAATTGAAACAAAAACTAAACTTGACTGATTTTTTTGAACATTTTTTTGCTATAACCATTCTTTTCTCACTGAAACGGCTGTCCTCAATTCCTTATATTTTATCCTTCCATCATACACTTTTTGAAGTGCTATTGAAGGACAGAAATCAGATTAGAATACTCCCATCCAAAGCTATTACTTGATGTACTTAGTAGTAGCAGTAGCAGCAGCAGCGGCACTTACGTGTGTGTGTTATTTGCTCACAGGTGAGGTGTGGCAAGGGGGGCATCAGTGGACACAAGTTGAGGGAGTTCCAGAGGAGTCACCACCTGCGGATGGGCAGTGCAGACAGGAGACTCATTCAATTCACCATCGCACAAGTCGAACTAGTACAGCCCAGGTACATGCATGTAGTAGTCACTATCAACACACAACAACAGCAACAACGACACACAGATAGTAAATGTATATTACAAATAGAGCAAGGGCTATTATTAAAAACTACTTCTCATTAAAACCCTTGCAAGTTATGCCAAGAGATTGCATCTCATGCCCAGAAATGTTTCCAGCTTTGACCAATTATGACCATATTGTCTCCACTGTGTGGCTAATACGTGGTAAGAATCAAAAGAAACGAAGTCAAATTGCAAGCAGCATTGAGGTGGACTGAGTGTGGCTTGTTGAGTGGCTTAACTGTTTAGGAGTCAGTTGCGAGATGCGGAACTGTCTCTCTACTCGTGTGACCCGATCAGTGGCTGCAACGTCCTCTTCCTCTCCGGCAACAGGACCCACAAGTTCATATCCATCGCACACCCAGACGACACCCCCACCTTCATCCAGCGCACCACCCCCTCCGCCTTCACTCTCCACAGATTCGTCATCGGGGTGGGGGCTGTTCTGCTGGTGGCCTTCCTCTCCTGCTACTTATACGTATTAGTCACCACACTCTCAGAGGTCAGAGCACATCTACTTCTTTTCATATTTCCACAAAAGTTACACAATAGGGCACAAAATGTAGTTGATAACCACAAATTTAATTTACTCAAGCAATCATAATTGGGTTTTAAACACGAGTTCCAGCTTATGTTATATGTTTTTCGTTTTCTCGTATTTTCGCCGTTTAACATTCGACTCTTATGGAGAAAAATTTCGTGTGGTGACTCTTGAATAATAAAAAAGGAACTTTTTGCCACAAGTGATTCTTCCTAATGATAGGCAATGTCTAAGCTGAGTAGATTTACAAGCAAATGCTACTTCTAGGTACTTGTCGTTTTATCGCTTAACTTTCTCTGAAAACCTTGTTTAAATGACTTTACCTTGTTCTAAACTGCAATGAGTTATGACAGCGAGAGCGAGGGAACCAATTTGATACATTCTTTACATGCAAAGAGTCGTATGTACATTTACTGACAGTCTAGACTACAGTTTTGAGGGAATGGGAAAGTGGTAGGGGTCCGCAGTTTTTTTGAACTGATCCGGGTTTCACGTGGTCTAATGTGAGCTTGATGGAATGTGTTTGAGGTTGTGATCAAGCGACTCTCTTCGTCTGGAATCCGACTGGACGTGAACAGCAGGGGCCTCATGACATTCAGAATGATGCTCCACGGACAGGACCCAGGGGGGGCATCCGGGGGAGGAGACTTGACATCCGGCGGATACAATCCAGACAGCAAGGATCCCTACTCCAACATATTCGGCCACAGATGAACTCAATGAACTCAACTGAATAAAACTGGAAATAAGTTGCAAAAGTTCGGGCCATAGATAAATCAAAAAGAGCGGATCGGTTCAATTTTTTGCGCTTCTGGTGCTTTAAAGAGAAAATCCTCCCATAATAAGAGGAACTTATTAACCGGTTAAGAATATGCAAATTTCCAAAATGTTTATGCATGCAAAATTTTGTTCAAGGAGGCGAGCTCAACTTATATCTGTCCGAACTTTTTGCAACACATTCGGTTGAAATTCAGTTCCTATTTGCAAATTCTTGAAAAACAAAAAGCAGTGCTGATTAAAACGTTATCCTGCCACAGAAATTAGAAACCAATAAGGATTTACGATGGTTTAGTTTCTATTTTTATAGCTCTTAAATAATTTTACGATTTTGTATAATTAAAACAAGTTTATTGGATCATTAGCTACTTCAGAGAGCAATTCATAGAATTTAAGATACTGAAATTAATCGGGCTGATTTGAGAAAAATCCGTTTTGATTTAGTTAAAAGCGCAGATAATTTTAAAAAGTAAGCTAAAATTGCTCAAACTACATATTGATTTCAGCAGAAATTGACACAAATACCCATCCTTACATTTTAACTGCAAAAAAGCGGAGGAATAATTGTGCCCGGGTTGGCTTTTAGTTTTCCGCAGAAAAATGACTCTCTTGAATATTGAGTCCGAACTGATTGATAAACGACAAACAAGGTTAGCTGAGAACTCAAATAAATGACCTGGTATGATGTTACGAAAGCGCAACATCACGATATGTTAGTTACAACATAAAATAAAGAATTCAGATCTAGTTAATTCGTTTTCTTAGTTGTTTCTTTTTAAACTGTTTCTTTTTCTTTTCCCACTTCCTGTTGGATTTCCTCGTCGTCCTGCTCCTCTCTTTGTTGTTTTTCTTGCTGCTCTTGTAGGTCATCTTTTTTGTGGTCTGCCACTGAGTTCTCGATTTTCTTGTTGTGTATGTTTGTTACGACGAGGACCTCTATATCTTGTTGTTTTTTGTGGTTGTTTGCAGGGGCCACCATGTCAATGATCTCCATTGCCCGTTGCGCCTCTTTCTTTGCCTGCGGTTTTATGGCTTCCAAAAACTTCACGCAGGTGTTGTACTCCAGCGATCAAATCTCCGAGATGAGGCTTTTCAGGTTGGGTTTTGAATCGGGCGTTGTGAAGGTTGATTCACTGTCATAGCATTTCCCTGCATTTCCCTGTGTTTTGTCCGTGGGTGGTGCGATTGAAAATTGTTTTGCCGGTGATTGGGTCACGTTCCCTGAGGCATTTATCGGGACCGGGTTCCCCAGTGCCCCGGCTAGTGTTGAATGTCTGGATCGACCCGACTCTCTTGTCGGTTCCAGCAGTTTGGTAGCTTCCGGCGTTTTCTTTTTGTTTACCCGTTTTGGAGATGGTACGGTGATTTCCGAAGTCGATGAACCCGAGTCATCCGACGAGGTTGATTTATCGCTCTCCGACTGCTTCTTTAAGGTTTCCGCCGTCTTCGTTTCCGTACTCAACTTCAGTCCTCTTATTGGTGTTCGTTGCGTTGATTTTACCTCAGTTCGTTTTTCCCGTAGCTTTTCTTTTGATCGGGCTATCCTGTAATTCCGTTAGAGTTAACTTCACTGGTAGCCCCATTGTGTCTTCTCGGAACATAGGATGTTAAGGTGCGTTACGGTCTTCGATATCTAAAAAACGCAAACATTGTCCTATTCTCCGAAATGATTTATATGCAACGCAGTCGCTAAGTCGTGACGGCCATATGGACCGTAGATTAAAGGTTTAGGAACGAATTCAAACTCAATAATTCTTGGTAGTCTTGGTTGTTTTCCTTTTGTTTGTACCCACGCTGTGTGTGGCGTGTATGTTAAGATTTTCCCATCGATAGTTTACCACGTTCGTTGCCCACTTAACTAATTTCCTTCTTAGTTGTTTTATTCAATTTTTGCTATTTGGTTCAACCAGTTGCTGTATGTCTTTATATCTTACATTTAATTTCTCTTTTTCAAGAGCTAACGCTCGCCTGGTTTTTGCACCTGTATTCGGTGGCCGTGGGCTATCTTTGGCTGGTGTGTGTTGAATGATTGCAGGCTCCGGTGTTCTTCTCTGAATTGTGACCTCGTCTTCTGACCATTTTTGGAGGTCGTGCATTATTTCCGCTGGATTTGAAGAGTGCATCAAGTTTTTCCGATCTAAACAGGCGTGTTTGGCATTTTTCCAAATTAAGTTTTTTGGTGAACCATTTGTTGCTATGTTTGAAAGCGGAGTTTTAGCTTTTCTACCGCTTCAAATGGTGTTTTTTTGTTATTTCTTGCGGAGTTATGCGTAAGGTTTTGAAAGCTTCCGCCACATCCGAGGCTAATTTGAACGGAGTGCCGTTCGTGCCAATTCTCCTTACTCTGAGTCGCCGTTTAAAAGTTTGTATCATTTTTTCTACCACCCCTAGGAATCTGTGATCATCGTTCGTTGCAAAGAGGAGTCTTATATCAATTGATTTGCAGAAAAATTGAATTTTTTTTGGCCCAACGTTTTTTTTTCAGGTCGCATCTTAGTTTACGTGGTACTCCGTTATTTGACTTGTACTATTGCGTAAAATTCAATGTGATGTCCACTGTCGTGTTCGAAACTACCTTAGTTGTTGTAAATTTTGACGACTTATCTAAAACAACTAGTAAATATGCGTCTTTATTTAGTTCATTCGAGAGAGGTCCCGCAAAACCTAATTGTGCCTCTTCGTTCGGTTCGACAACAGGTATCATTTGGAATGAAAGTTTCTTCCCCATTATTGGTTTCAAGTTTTTACCTTCCTCGGTACACTGTCGACTTCATTTTATCATCTGCACGATTGATCGTGGATGTGAGAAAACCAGATGTGTTGGCAGAGATCCAACATGGCCGTCGATCCGGCGTGAGTGAGGTGTAAACTATCGAGCACTGTCTGTCGGAGTTGAGTTGGGAGTACAATCCGCTCATCTTTGAGCAGGCAATCATCTCGTACAAGGAATCGGTGTCATATATTGCACCAGTACTGACTGAATGACACCTTGGGGGCTTCCCAGTCTCGTTTTTTAACGAAGTTAGCGTGTGGGCACTTATATCTGTCTTTTCGAATTGCGGCGGCAATGAAGCTGACTGCCAAAAATTTCTGCAATATTTTTCTTTACAGTGGGGTGTCCTCCTCGATTTCTGTGTTGGTTTTCTTGTGGACTGCAGCTACCAGTCTGTTACCATTTCGTGGCTGGCCTCTAGTTGTATTCTTCGAAGTTCCTTCATGTGTGTTGATGTCACTGTGGGTGGTGTCACGTTTGGCTGAGTTCCTCCTGTCTTGCTGTGGTTGGGTCCAAGAAGCTTACGCAGTATTCATAAACTTTTTTTTCTCAATTGATAGCTCTGTCCGTGTATCGGTGTCTTTGACTCCAATTGGGTAGAAAATGATGGCTTAGTCTGATCCGCGGTTTGAGTGAGTGTATTTCCGTTGTCGTTATTTGTTTCCTTGTCTGATTTTTTACTCAATTCCTCTTGGTGTGTCCTGTTGTCGCTGAAGACGGTTTTCGGAAATGTGGTTATTTTCTTTTTTTCAGTTCTCGTTTGATATTTTCTCAGGCGTCCTTAAGCGTGGCTGATGTTGATGTAGCGTCTGGTTGGCTTTTAGGTTTTCATTCGTCCTTCGTCTGTGCCATCGCGGATTTGAGAAGCTCTTTTCCCGATCGGATTCTCCTTGCCTCTTTTTTGTTTGTCGACTCATTCTGTTTCGATCTGTGTTACATTCCTATTCCGAAATAACGCTCCCTTCTAGCCCTTTCTAATTATTTCGGATATTTTGGATATTGGATAGTTTATGAGAGAATGGCTGAGATTTTATTGGGATAATTAACCGCTTGTGCGATATTTGAAATGTTTGAAAAGCACTTGAAATTTGGATTGGCTTGCTAGCGTTCTTTCCTATTTCGCGCACTTTTTGATCAGTCGATTAGGTGCTCGCTTTTGATTAGCAGTTGGTTTCAGATTAAGTTGCCGATCAACTCAAGAAGCATTATGAGTGAGTTGACATGCGCCACAAAAAGTTCCTCATCAAACTCCCTGGGTGGTATTGCTAATTGAACCGGATTTCTGTACATTTAGTCAATTATTTTGTTCCCCACCCAATGTTTTATAGAAAAAATGAAAAAAAAAATTAGCCGATCAACCCATCTTGTTAGTCTGATTTGGCCAGTTTTTGATCTTTCGCTGGCATTTAATGCGCCAATTTAAGCCTGGTGATCTGTGATGACAGTATAATTTTATCGCATAAATAGTATTTGAAGTAATCTGTTGCCCAAACGACCCCCAAGATTTCTGTTGCCCAAACAAACCCTGATTAATTTTCTTACAAAAAATTTTAAGATTTTGACGCGTACGCGGTTGCCACCAAACCTTCTGATGTGTTTCGTTCTAGGGCTGCTCCTAGACCGGAAATCTAGCGTTTTGTGTTTTTTGTGTTTTTTAGAAGAGGATGTAGTGCCGCGGCAGTTTCTGCCAGGTGGGGGATGCATCTTGTGAGATGATGTATCGAGCCCATGAAACATTTTAATTGTTTGGTTGTTTTAGGTGGGTTTAGTCCTTCTATGGCTTCTAATTTTTATATTGGAGGTGTTGTGCCCTCGCTATCTATAGTTTAACCTAGCCATTCGATCTGTTTGCACGCGAACTTACATTTGTCTATAAAGATGGCGAGATTTACTTCATCGAGATTTTGTAGTACTTTTTGCAAGGTGTTTTTCCTTACTTCCGCGGCGTATGTATTTTTGCAATTTGTTAGCGTGGAGTCGATTGCCTTTTGGAATTTCCACCGGCATATCCGTGAGGCCGCAGAAACCAGTTTGGAAATGAAAGGTTCCCGTGGCGTTTTCCCCGATGAGGTTAAAAATGCTTTGCTCTCGAATTTTGTTCATCCAAAGGAATTTGCGAAGAAGCATACCGCAAATCAAGACATGAAAAAATGTTTGTTATTTTTTTGACATTTGATATTTGTTAATTTTCTTTGAATCTAACGCCAGTTTTACCGTTTGATCTTTTTTACGGTGATAAAGATTGGGATGATG